TGTTGACTTAATTGTGAAGGCTTATATATCTCACAAGCAGCACGGGGACAGTTTACAACCTGGACCAAGCTGAAAATTTCGATGCCACACTTGTCCTTGAAAATCGCTGGACTACTTAGATCTTATCCTTCTTGGACAGGAACTGACTTCTAGCATTCAAGGAACTTGTTTATTTTTCACTAGCAAATCAACGTATATGAGCTACTGCGATTGGTGGTTGTGTCTGTCGTAAACGATACAGTTCAGACACACCTTAACTGCTACTGTGGTACAGATAGTGGTGAGCTTGTAGGATTATTATCTAGGCCAGTATTAGTACAACCAACTATGACACAAGAATAATAAACGTATTTCACGATTTCAGATTTGTCATGATGTGACTACCCTATCTATAAGATCTTACATGAAGTTGTAATGGCATAGGATCCTAATCACAATCCTCAAAGCTGATCATGAGATAACTGGGAAAATAGACTTTAAGCATGTAGCACAAAGAGAAGGTCAATAATGGTGGACGCGTGATAATTCATTGGGAATTCAGTTAAGCAGATGGAATGGCTCAGCCCTGCAGACGTGATCATTCTGTATGGCTTGTTTTGATTCATATTGAATATATTGTTCTATCTCCAGCCTGTGTTTTCTATCAAATAGTAGTGATTATTGTGATACGATGAGCCAGTGTAAACAATGATTTGACTTCCACGTAAGATCTTATAGATTATGCAGTTACATCATAACAAATCTACAATTTTAGCATAAGATCTATTATTATAATAGTACTAATAACGAAAGGGACCATAAATCCACATTGATATACATGACTAAAGAAACACAGCCTATTACTACCAATCCTTATTTCCACTTTAACTTTCTTACTTATGTTAACCCAGTATTCTATAGTCCCCTGACTAACGCTCACGTTTCCTATCGTGTTGTGGTGTTGATTAGTACTCATAACGTAGTAGCTTAATCGATCATAATAACAGGTCATCTATATCAATTGCTAGCCAAGATGGTTTGTTGACAAGCTGTAATAGCAGTTACATGCTTCAGCGAAATAAACTTGTGAAAACATCAAGTTCTGGCAAATGTGACCTGTAAATAACGGAAATGTACGTTGACTGGCAACGTGAACACGGACTGAATGGTTATCTGGACCTAGTTCTTCATATTGTTTCTTTACTTAACATTTCACTCTGTTTTAAACTTTGGACTATCCAGTAATATCTTTTTGTCCGACCACTGACTGCCTAATTTTCAATTTTCGAGTTCTATTGCCAAACGACGAAGACAATACTCCAGAAATTAAGGTGAGTTTAAGCTATAAAGTCTCTGCAATCATAAAGTTATTTTAGATGGTTCATACTGTGACAGCTACATAGTTGTCTGAACTCTCGGATTTGTACTGTTTGTCTACAATTTTAGGATTAATTCTATTATTATAATAGTACTAATAACGAAGTAGACCATAATTCTACAACATCATGTCATTGTCTATAGTGATTTGTCTTATCGTGCAGGCCAGAGAAATACTTTTAAGCACTTCAGAAAAATACATTTGGTCTGGGACTGGAATTACTCGTTTATTATTTAAAATAAGAATTTACTTAGTGATAACGCCTGAATGATTTGGCCATGCCATACCGTTTAAGTGTTCGTGGGTCCATCATTTCTGACCTTCTACAAGCGTAAAATGTTGAACGTAAACAATCTCAGTTATTAACTATTCAGCTTTAAAAATCGTGTCGTTGACAACCCATACCATCACAGTTTTACCGGTTATTACTTAATTTGAGGAGCAATTGGAGAGCTTTGAAATGACCTTCGAGAAGTACCAAATGTTCACCATTCAAAAGGAGGAATTGAATGCAATTCGGAAATACGATACCTACATATGACATGTAAATAAATATCTATCATATTTTTATACGAATAATGGGTTATCAACTTGCCACTAACTACCTGATTAGGTTGCTTCAATGTAGCTACAGCCTACGACTATGTGCGTTGTTTGATCAAATTATTCCAGGTAACTCTGATGGACTGTGATTATCATTTGAAAAATAGAAAGGCCACATGAGAAATTCAGAACATTTACTGAACTGTTAACTGTTGTCATGAACATCATAATTTTCATTGTGTTTTAGATATATTTGTCTTACTCAAGCTTTGAAGGCGTTTGTTTATAATTTTGGCACTAAACACCTTCAGCTTCACAATGTTTGGTTTAGTATTTTGCAAATTTTGCTCTGAAAACCTAAATTTTCATTAAAACTATATTTGGGTTGATAACTCTCATTTTGAGTATAAACTTTGGGTACCTGAATTTAAATATGCTTTTCTTGATTTTAGGGTTGTAAGTTACGAGTGTGCAGTGACTCACATTTATCACGAGAACACGACTGGTTTAATAAAAACAATTATTATTATAACCAACTGTACCAGTGCTTGTTTGACTTTGCTAATGACAGCTATATTTTGCTTCCATTCTTATACACACACTTTGACTGTAACTTCACGCGAATTCGGTTACGTTCTGTAACCAAGCTTCTATCCTGGCACAATCTCGGTAACCTTTCGATGCCACGAGATCGCCAGCGAATATATCTCGATTTGGTCTATTAATTGCCTGCTGATATTTGGCTTCTCGGGGATTTTATGGATTTATTTGGTTACGTTCTACCTTCGCCTTCTGATTAACTTGGCACGTATTTCTTGGTAGCGGTGTTCATAGTCAACCGCGACTCGACGCCACGCTACAAGTGTATCAGCTGTCCGTGCCTCAGTAAAAACACCAAGCCAAAATTAGGTGGGAAAATAGATAAGCTCACTTTGTAAAATTTATTTCAAGTCCTGCAGATTTACGTTTTACCAGACACTGAATTTACGACCCACTCAATTAGAATCTTAGTACGTTTGTGTTCTATCACTAACCGGTTGTCATCAACAGCTTTCTGCTGGTTTATCGACAAGTGTCTATGTAGTGTATCTAACAAATTTTAATAAGAGAACCTCAGAATATTACAAGCACAGTTTCATCCTGCTTTTATTAGAAGTTGAAGATGCCACGGTTATTTAAAATCTGACGACACATTTGTACGCAACATCTTTATAATCGAATGATACCTACCAAGCCAAACCAGAAGTCAGTAAAAAATGCACTCGAAGTTATATTAGACACAATTGCCGATATATTGAGAAGCATTTGATCTAAGTTGGCTAGTAGCTGCAAGGAAGGTGAAGCACGGCTAAATTACTCGTGACCTCGTGTTGGGGGGTGACAGAAGGCATTCAGTGGTGGTGTGTCAAGTAAAACTAATTGAATCAGCATCAATGTTGAGGACACACGACTATTTGTTTTGAAGATTTATTTACCACTACAGGATTTTCTTCTGTGATATCTTATCAGCTTAGTGGAGGCTATAATAAAGTGTTCATTACTTGTTTAGTCCTTCAAATGAACGTAACTTCGCGAAGTCAGATGAGTGATTTAGTTATGTTATCTAATTTTGTAGAAGAAGTCTTCAAACACTTTCCTCAGTATTCAATTTCCCTACAGACGACTATGAGATTCGGAGGAAGTTTCAGGTACTTGGAGTGTGGCTTAACTGTAAGGCAATTTGAATAAAAACGATCACTGGACGGTTAGTGAAGCACGTGTTACAAAAATAGGTTTTTATTGCTGCAAAGTTGATAGACAAATGTTCATTAGATTTACGATCCCGAACAAAATGAATCGAGTAAATAAATAAAAACGTCACGTATCTAATCGCAAATCTACGAGAATATTTCTCGTTATGACAGGTGTGGAAAAACTATTCTAAACAGCCAATCTTTAGGTCTCCTTAAGTCTAGGATAGCAGATTCATAGTCAAAGTCAATATTTAGGCTGAACGTTCAGTATTACAAAGATATTGAACAGAATATCTCAAAATAAATGAGATGATTCGAGCTTCTCGCACAACTAAGTAAAGGGAAACCCGGGAGTAAGGATACCTGAAAATTTTAATTAAGGAGAAAGTTATTATAGTGCATTATTTAGCTAATAGATATCTGTAGTGGTATTGATTACCAACCACACGATCTTCGGAGCCGAGCATTTAAACACTAATACGATTAACATCCGAAATATAACACTTAGTGAAGGTTGAGATTGGTGAACGCGAGGACAGTTGGTTGGTATGGCATGGCTCAGCCTTACAGGCTCAGTCAGTCTGTGTGACCCATACCTTTCAATAATAACTACACAATTCTATCGTCCAGACAAAATGTGACTGCAGAAGTACTAAACATCGAGATGCTGATTGTCACGATAGGATGGATTAGTGTGGACTATGACGTAACATCTGAGTAAGATTTTATAGATTAGTTGATCACATCATGACAGATCTACAATTTTGGAATTAGGCCTTTTAATACAACAACAAAGATAAATGTACTGATAGCGAACTAGGCCATAAATCTACATATCTACATCCGAAAATAAACTGGTTCGTTTTCTTAGATAGATCTTGTAATGCAAATCTGTTAAATAGCCACAATGCTAAACGGTTATTTGAAAGTAATCATTTTTTACACGTAGGCCTTCTAGATTCTCACAAAACATTCAGAGTCGACTGTCTATTTCTTTTCCGGTAACTGAAGTGCACACTATTGGTGGGCATCTGATGAAATGGACTTTGTACTACTTAATGGGGAGGTCGCAATTCGTCAGAATTCGCTCTAGTGCATATGGTTGTCTCTTAGTGGTGGGTAGACCATTACAAAGCTGGATCATTAGACCACAAGTTGTTGTGTTGTTCATTGACTGAATTATGTTTGTTCTACATTCCGATATAATAGCTAACCAATTTGAGTAATAACACAAAATTACATAAAAAATGAAGCAAAAGGGACCTAAAAATAACTTTTGAACATAAAGCAAGTGACAGAACGTTTTCTGTAGTGTAGATTCCAGTTTTATTTCTTATTACTTTTAATGAACCAACATCAAAGGTACTGTTTTAAGGTCAATAACGATGAACTAGTCAAACGTTGAGCATGTACTTTTGTCACCACCATATGTTTAGTAGATTTCTATGGGTTGTCTTGGGCGAACATTAGAATGTGGTTTTGGAGCGTATCCGTGCTTTTTGTGTTGTGTGAAAAATTCTAGAGAATCGACCACAACACGACTTACTTACACACTTATTCTTGTGTTTATTACATTTATATCAATTGCATCTCATGAGGGTGGAGTTTTAAGTTCGCTGTATCTCAGAGTATGTCTTATCTAACATTGCTAACGATTCCACAGCATAAAGACAATTTTGAGCGATTTTGCTCTCAGATTGGAGCTGGTGAAGGATGTTACAGAATTATAGGATATATTGGGGTTTATCGTATATGTCTTTCTCTCTTCACTTTTCATATCTTGATGACATTTTTTACCATCGCAGTTTCTTCCAGTCAGACGTTCCGGGGAAAAATTCATAATGGGTAGTTTGTATATGTAGTAACTTATACATGTAGGTACTGGTTGTGGAAAGTGTTCTTTATTGTCAGTGTGTGGATAACTGCTTACTTTTTCCCATACTTGGAAACTCTCATCAGAGGTTTGTTTGTTTTTTACTCACTTTGATCTACAGTGTGGATGATTATGGGAATCGTTGGTGGGATTTTATTTGTCTATGTACAACACATAACGCTTATCGACTTTGCTTATGAAATAAATGGGAATTGGTAAGACAATAACAATTTTTGCGATCTTTTGTCCTCCTAAATACTCACTTTTACTGTGGTCACTACTTGACTTTCCTGCATACATGCTTGGTGCTGTCGATTGAGTGCTTAAAGAACATAATTTGTTGAACATTTGAAATATTTTGTTGGTAGTTTCACCATGAAGATAGTCCTTAATGAGTCAAAGCAACATCATAAACCAAATAAAACATCGAAGTTTTAATGGCGATACTGTTCAGACGAGTTATTGTATATTGCCTAATTTCGTTTATATATATATATATAGTTAAATCCTCCGTATAAATTTGCAAGACTTTTGTTTCGATTACTTATTATTGGTGTAGTTAGTTATGTTCATATCTTGCCACTATAAGAGCAAGAATGTTTCTTGTCAATAATAACATAGAATCACTCATTAAAGTTGAAGCAGTTGGGAAATTTAAGTTTACTTGGGTTATATATTCTCGCACACTTAGATTCTACTGGTAAAATCAACCGGTCACTGTATTTGTCTGTCACTACCCAATATTTGCAGGTAAATTAAATTAAAATAATACCGCAAGCAATACTTTCTTAATCATGGACCAAACTGGAGTTTGTTGACGACCTTTACAGCCTAACCCTCACACCTTATTGCTAAAAAGTCTAGATTGTTACATCCATATAGTGAGTATATTGCTTATTAATTATTTCAGGCTTGCGTAGACCAGTACTTCATTAGTTTAGGCGGTTGGATCTCAATTTCTGAGTGTTAAGTTTAAAACGACACCTACTTACTAATGTTTAAGTAGTTTGTTACTGGTTCTCACTTAAATGACGTGGCCAAAAGTCTAACACATAAGCTTCAAAATCATTATCGAGCTGGGGTGTTGTGATCATTATTGTTTACACTTACAAATTATTTGAGTGATATTATTTAATGGAAGAAGAGCTGTTGAACGCCTAAATGAATGGATTTTGGCGTTTTGTTTTATAAATTAACTTTTTGTGGAAAACAATTAGTATAACTTGTGTTGACCAGTTTACAGGCCACCTTAGTGAAGAACTAGATATCTTTTTGAGGGAACTGAATACAGTCATTTACTGAGCCAAATATTTTAGTAACCTTAAGCAACACGTGACCAGACAAATTGGGTTGTATTAATGGATCACTTCAAGATCATTTGTTTAAAAAAAACTGTACCTAGAACAAAAACAATGAAACGAACAATGCTAACTGTAGATGTGTATAGAATAGCGAAACACACATCCAACAGCACAATCGATGAATGGGTTGAAGTTGTACAATCTAACATTTCAGGGTCGTTTCCATACTGTTGTTAGAGGGTCCATATCCAGAAAATATGGTTTCTTGGAAAGTTGAAAAATGTAACTACATCGGTCAGTGTTGAATGCTTGCCCGACCATTTTGAGTTTCGTTTCATTCTGATTCTACTTCATCAAGCTTGATTTGATAAAGTAGAGACATTTTAGTGTTTTGTATAATCACAGTCGATACTCTGTAGATTTTATTTTGACTTATAATTTGTGTTTCGAATCTACATACTCCCCGTGAGATTCAAACGGCCTCCGATTTATTCTGCTTGCCTGAGACTAAATAAAATACACTGCAATGTAAAATCGCTTAGCTTAGCAGTCATATTATAACTTGTTAGATAAAGGTTAATCAACACTTTGAATCGAACATAACAATGATTACTACAAAGTAAGAAATCGATAGGTAAAAGGACTTGCACTTTGTTGTGTCAGGACCAAGTGAATTTGTCGGTGTTATTGATTCAGTAAAATCATTCGTATCTGATATATATTGTTTGTTAGGACTTATTTTTTTGTAAGTACATATTGTCTTCAATCTGCTTTCTGTTTAAGACTACGTGTAGCCAATGGGCATTTTTCTATCTTCGAGAGACTTTTCCAATTTCAAAATAAGCCATGATACTTAATGCTACTCACAAAAATATATAACCTAAAACGTAAAGTTTTGAGACGTTCGTCTGACGTTTTCTATGGATTATTCAGCAAAATTTGTACGTAACAACTGTCGAAATAAATAATCATTTCATTCTGTCACTTAGTTAATTCAAGCATTTATTTTTACTGAACGTATTTTAATAATGTTTTCTTTTGATTTCGTCTAGGCATAATAAATCGAAAACTTCAATTTTTTATACATTGGGTGAGTTAGATTCGTCATCTGTTATGTATGCATTTCCTACATTTAATGTATGAATAAAAAAGGCAAAATAATTTGGTTACCATGAAAATGTTTTAAAATTTCGGTTTATAAAAGTTCAGCAAGGTTGGGTATCAGAGCTATCAGCGTTTGGATTCCAAAAATTACGTCTCTGTTTTGTAGTGTGCTTCAGTTTCGATTTTTGACTGTCATATAAATTCGATTGAAAGCTTTCATGCGAAGTACCTTTTTGTCATGCTAAGTTTTTCACAAAAATAAAATATGTATAGTTAATTCCTCTGTATGAATTTACAAGACTTTTGTTTCGATTACTTGTTTGTTAATTGTGAAGTGCGAAAAATTATTTATCTATAGTAAGCTTTTTATCCAAGTTATTCATCGTTTATGCAGATGAAACTTTTCAGCCGGTCAGTGTCACAGTCATTTGAGCCAAGCACGAATGTGTATCGGTTCAAATTGTCACATTTTACTTTAACACAAAGAGCGAAAATCGGAAAGATTGCATGCATATAGTATTAAATCTCATGGGAATCAATTGGAATATAAACACAAGAGATATGGACCCAAGGAAGTGAATGTGCTGGAAGAATGACTAGATCGGCTCAGTGGTCTAATGGTTAAGTGCTCGCGCGCGAAGCCAGTAGGTCCTGGGTTCGAGCCCCGGGTGGTGCGGGTTCGTGAATGCGCACTGCTGAGGAGTCCCATACCAGAACGAAACGGCCGTCCAGTGCTTCCAGGTTTGCCCCCAAATGCCCTGGTACGGCCGAGAGTGGGGAAAGTCCGCTCTCCCTCTCGAAATGCTCTCACATGGCCACGCGTATATAGCCTCTTCCAGGGAAGTCCTACTCACTGCCTTCTCGTGGCGGGGGTGTTATTTACAAAAATGAGAGGACGAAAAGCGAATGTCCGGCGCTTTAACCGGATCCCAAACTGATGGTGCACATGGGCTCCAGTATCCTGCGGGAACAAATGGCGTATGAACCAATCGTTGGTCACCGGCTACCATGGGACTGCATCTCCTTACGATGCTCCACTGCCTTGTGTGTAAGACCTCTAAGTCAAAGGCTCGGGGAGTGGCCCCATAAGAAAACCACCGGCTTCGGTTTGGGCACCCGGGCAGTATCACAGCCCTCGCACATATCGAATAAGATTTGTGTGGCGCATATGTATTTGGTGCTTTCTTGTACCAATATCTATGTGTTAAAATAAATAATGACTAGATCCATTTAGCTCAAGATTCAGTGGGAGATAGTTCTGGTATGACACCCATCAGCAAGAAGTATCTGCGATTCCAAGGGAACTGATCTTCGCAAGAGGACTCGAAACCGTATCGCCACATATTTCGATCGGAAATGTTAGTTGATCAGTTCGTCATGTTACGTACTAGTTAGCTCTGATCGCCTGCGTTTTGTAACGTAAACATTATCCTGACTGAATTGACATTCTGGCCAACCTTGTCTTGTGTTTAGGTAGGACGGAAATCATGAAGAGGATTTTTCGATATCCTGCCATGTTGTATATCACTCTTGTTGATAAAAAGGTCAATAAAAGAGCATTAATTTAGTTTAACCATTAACAGTCAAGATTCTTAAACAAGTGTATCACCATAACTCTTCTAGACTAAAAGACCATACTGACCAACAACACGAATCCCTATTATCTCAAATTACTATTTAATTTAGGCACCTACAGTTAATAAAATGTATAAATGCTGTTGGCACCGATCATACTACAACAGAAAACTCGTGTTTATATATAAAGTTGATTTTCGTGACAGTTAAATTGTGATTTCTGGTTAACCAGAATTCACGTCTCGCTTGATTTAAATAACGTCAATTAACAGTTAGAATAATTCCTTTTCCGATTCTGAAGAAAATCTTGGTTAATGCAATATTTCAACATATATGTCAATTTATAGTCAGTCAGCTACAGCGTATGACCAGGCACATTTATAAGTTATGTATAGTCGCATAACTGCAGTAGGAAACTTCTCCACAAATTAACTAATGTTGATTTTTATCCAATTAAAAATCTTTTCAAACAAAGTTTCAATGAAGTAATAATAATTGACAATAATGATTTGTCTCGACCTGATAATTGGCATTTTATCTATATATGTATGTAATTTTTCTTCCATAATTTTCAGCTATATATATTGCTACCTTGTCACTGTATGCTGTAGCTATTTGTGCTTATACTGCCTTTGTACTTTTCTACGGTTTACCTCGTCAATGTACATTAAATCTAACTGTCACTGGTATTAACGCAGGTCTTACATTACTATTTGCTATATGCTCTGCATTTTCTACCATATGTAAGTTAGCATGTATTTTTTCTCTTTTTTTCCTTTGCTTTCTAAATATAGTTTTGTTTTCAGTTGACGAACTAACTAAGTACACTGGATAACTCTCTCATTTATTAATTTTGAACTGCCCGACAGTTTGCAATCATAATTCCATACAGGATCATGAGCACAGGGCTTTCAAATCGTATTAAAGATATGATAAACCATGAAAATCTAACTGTTGCCAACCAGTCAGTCAGCTACAACGTAGGACCACGCACATATTTGCATCGGTCCAAGTTACCTCATTAGCACAGAATGACAAACACCGGCTTCATAGAAGTAGCTAATTCAATGGTGGTAGTATATGAAAGAAAGATTGCATATGAGGATATAGTACAGGAAGACAGAATTAGTTCGTAGAAAGAAAGATATGAAGTGATTTCAATCTCATAGTTTAAGGGAAGACAGAGAGTGTATACGCCGACGCCAATGTGATCGATTCTTAGCCATGTCACCAAGAGTCTCTGACCATTAGTTACGATAGTCACACGGACTCCAACCAAGTAGTCTGCATCTACCAATATGGCTCAGACTAGAAGTTGGTGACTTCAAACACTGATGCCAAGTTTTGGTTTGGCCGCCCCTAACTTTCATCCAACCATCTCCAACACCGGTTAGCATTGCACGTCGTGGTAATCGGTGTTCGGGCATACGCAACACATGGCCCAACCATCTCAGTCTATGAAGATTCACAACATCATCAACTGATTTACTATCATAACTAATACACTGAGTCGACCATCACTATTACTTACGCGGTGATCCCAGAAGATGCGAGCAATATTTCTAAGGCATCTGTGGCCAAATACTAGTAGCTTACGAGTATATTCTACTCTTAGTGACCACGTTTCGCAGCCGTAAAGTAGAACAGAACGAACTGCCGCGCAATATACTCTTCCTTTTATTGATAGACGGATATCTCGCCTTCACCATAGGTGACCTAAATTGGCAAAAGCCAAACGAGCTTTTCGAAACCGTGCTGAGATTTTGTCAGACCCCAACCCATTAGAGGCTGATCAGACTTGTAAGATAAGTGAAATTATCAACGTGTTCGACTACTTCACTCCTTATCCTTAGTCCAGGTGTTGACACAGATCAGTCCTGGAGCAACAACAGCAGCATTTAGAGGGGGAGAAACGCATCCCAAACATTCTGGCATTGTTGCTCAGTGCTATAGAAAAACTCTGCATTTTATCAGCGTCTTCACCAAACACGACTATGTCGTCTGCGTATTCTAAGTCTATAATTGAACCTCCTTGTCGGAGTATGACCCCGGAAAATTTAGTCGACGAAAGCGTTATTTCCATCAGTAGGTCTATGATGAAGTTGAGCAAAAATGGAGAAAGTGGACAGCCTTGCGGGATATCACTTGAGGTTGCAAAAGCAAATGACAGTTTACCATAAGCTCTGACTCGACTAGTAGTGTTCAAGTAAAGCGTCTTCACAAGGTTTATATACTTCTGAGGTACACCTTTCAATGACAGACACTGCCAAAGAACCTATCGGTTCAAAGAGTCAAATGCTGTGTTAAGTCAAGAACAACTATCATTGTCGGAGGCCGGTAAGTATACCTGCGTTCTAAAACCTGACGAATGGTGAATATGTGGTCGATGCAGCCACGACCAGGTCTGAAGCCATCCTGATTTCCACGTGTTTGCAGTTCACGAGTCTTCGTTAGGTGGCCGATAATTATTGAAGTTAGTATTTAAGATGCTATGTTAGCTAAACTAATCCCTCTATGGTTGTCACAGGATGATTTTGACCCTCTCTTATATATTGGGACAATCAGTGATTGTGACCAGTCAGATGGGATTATGTCCAACTCCCAGGCCTGTTGGCCGATTCGACATAGGGTGCGCACGTTGAAAACTACAGTGTGTAGTTTGAAACGAGGTTTCAGTAGACCTGGGATAGTGTTTTGCGCCCTAGAATCGTTAGCTATGGTGACACTTGAGGAGGAAGCCAAAAGAGGAAGTTTAGTGTTGAAAGTCGATTGAGGGAAAATTATAGGAATTGAAGAAAAAGATTGATTATGAATACAGTGATCTTGAGTGCTGTTAGAGGTATGAGTGCAGTTTTTACTTCCCGGTTGCCCACACTGTGAAAAGAATTCTTGTGGAGGTACCTGAAAAGGAAATTGGGTCAGAGGTGGCCTTATTGACCTGAGAGCGTGAACGCAATGCTCAAGGAACAACTACTTGAGGCCGGTTACACACAAACTTTTTGTGAGTGATTTTCGTGTTAGCTCAGTACTTGTTGGGACCTTACCGACTGAAACGGATATCCGTGGGATAAGGCGATTTGTGCATTTTTGGGGTCGACCTTTTCTGGCCACACCCCTCCTTGTGGGAAGGCAGCATCGCTGTCATGCTGGTTGTATGAAGGAAACACCTTACTGCCTTCACACCTCTGTACACTCAGCAGTACGACTTCGTCTTCGGACCTTGGATTCGTTACTTTTAGTTTTACCGTTCTTCAACCAACATATCTGGGACTGTAGGACCTTTGGGAACGATCGTTCCAACCAGTATAGCTCGATTGGTTCATCACGATAGGCAAACCCGACCACCACATCAAGGTAGCCACAATGGTTGGCATTTCTAACTTCAATCAAACCGCACGATAGCGCGAACATGTGGGTGGTCATTGTTATTTTAAATGCTAACTGATGTTGACGAAAATTCGTACTATTGGATTTCAAATTATTGAATTGATAAGATCATGCTCTCGATGAAACCTTCAAGTCTCGGGTTCTATCATATAATTGTGTACCACTGATGAATTTTAAAATAGCCAAAAATAGCTATTCAATGGTTCACCTGGTATAAGATGAAAATTATTCTCAAATTTTACATTTTCACGAAACTAATGGAATTAATTATTTCTTTCTTTAATCTTTAATTGTACTTCAATAATGATTATTTTGACTGAATATTTGTGTGTTCTCTGCATAACTGAAAAGTGTAGAAAAACGCGAGAAAATACAAACTCATTAGTGTATACTCCAAAGGTGATATTTCATTGATTATTATTGATCGATCGAGAAATTCTCTTTTTGTATTCAACCAATTTATATGTGAATCATTTGTTCTTTTTCTGACTACGTACTTCACAGTGCTTTGATTTTAGGCCTTATGGTTTGTTGGGATTTATTGTGCTCATATTCCCGGCTAATATATCACGTGAATAAACCGCCAATTACAAACGCCGACTTATATGACCTTGGCACTGCCAAACCAATGACACATACCAGTACGAGCAGCCTAGAGTCAACTTTGAGCTCATATTGGTCCTCTGAGACAGTAGCTTCTCTCCTAACTTAGCCAGCTCAGTCCAGAACACCAATATCAGTCTCCGTCATATGAATCATATATTTCAGGCATACGTAGTTATTATACAATCAAACCAGACTGCATCGTCCCATGGAATAGAAAATAACAATTATTCAAGATCAGGCAAAATGTGACTGTGAATCCGAGAGGCTGTAACTTATACATTGAGAAAAAACCTAATAATAGTAAATCGTATAATTGTACTCAATAGGTTAAATGGAAGCTTATAATAAGATAATATAAATATACATGCAATATAGTTAGTAGTTATTCAGTAGGAATATATGTAATAATAGTTCATAAATAATGATATTTTTAATTCAATAATAAATTTTTTCGCAAATTTTGGTCTTTAAGTGGTGGATCACCAACGCCTCAGCGGTGTAGAAGTTTTTGATTCGATTTATGCATTATTAAGGCGTCGGCGATCCACTAATTCAAGCCCTAACTTTGTATGCAAAAACCATGCATTCAACCTTTCATCCTTCCTTGGCCCTAATTTCCTTCCATAATATATTCAATAAAACTTTTGCTTTACTCTTGACGAAAATGACTAATATATCATCTAAACATCAGTTTGTAAAAAGTCTGAGTTCAGAATACATTTCTATCTCATATTTAGTAGAAATGATTAGTTTTATTAAATATTTATGTGTATTTATTCAAAAAACAAAAAAATCTCAGCAGTAACCTCGAAATTAATCGAGGTATTTTCATTTGAATGTAAATTAAATTATTCAAATGTTTAGTGAGACTTTGTAAATAAAACCACGATGAGATAGAATTAATTTGTTTATTTCTTCAGTGATTGCTACTAAGGACACACTGTCAAAGTTAAAAATAATCCATCTCTACTATAGTGGTGAAAAGTAAGTGTATATAGTAGTTTTACGGCGATTATGAGTTTTTCAAGTTTTATAGTCGGATTTATTTTGTTAGTCTCTGACTCGTTTTACTATGAAAACTCACATTCAAGAGAAGATCAGTATATGTTTGCATCCGTAATTTAGTCGTAGCTACTTCTTGAGTAGTTCCGTCGAATTAAGATGTTAATGGATAGTAGGTTTAAACAGACACTCTCATATGTCATATATGTAATAAGCTATGTTCTATTATAAATCGTTTATTTATGGAAAAGAAAACATTAATATTATGAACTGTGAACAGACTCTACATGTTTGGTGAATCTATTTAAGTTATCTACTGGTCAGTGTGATAGAAAGTTGGGGAAAACGATTAAAATCTCGTTCTTAGAGATATAAATTATCCTCTTTCTCCAACTTTTAAAGGGATCCAAACAAACTTTTCAGGGTTCCCACATTGTTTTTTGGTTAGGTTTAAGTGCTAAGAGTAAGGATCCGAGGTTGAGAGATAGGATTTTCATCACAAACTGATATCAGCTCCAGTGCAACAATGTTCTGCCATTAAACGGATGAATGAATTAGGCTCAAATAAGCGAGTTACTATCTGACTAGTAGTTCATCTATAAAGTATATTGACACCGGTCCAAGATGTATTTCAGAAATGAGGGTTTAGGGACAGTGTCAATTTGCCTGTTATATACAATCTATAGAGACAGATTTGAGCACTTGATGCGTTCAGTACTACCATTTTCACTGTATGGCGGCATATAGT